GGTTAAGCTCATTTGTGGTGGGTAGGTGGGAGTTGCGCGACACGCAGCCCTCGGCTGAGGCCGAAACCACGATCGGGACGGCGGAGAGCCGCGCAGGCTGAGGGTCGGCGAGCGTTCAGCGAGTTCGGAGCTAACGGGGGCTAATCCCAGGCCCTTATTGTTTGTTCTCCGCTACAGTCAACAATGCGGTTGATTTGCTGCATCGCCAACGTGAAGGCTTGTAAGCAAGATGAGCGCAAGCAGCTCGTTTCGCGGCGTGGCGAACGTTGCGCAACCCTCCTCGCCACCACTCGGCCGTACCGTGCCGCCATCCCGACTGCCGTTTAGCGTGATTGTGCGTGATATGTGGGTCCGGTTGCCGCGTGCAGTGGCGCTTTGCTAGGCTGACCGGTGCGACACGGAATAGTGTCGCTCGCATGGTACATTATCCGAGCTGAGTTACCAGCGCGCGATCGGGCCATTAGAGCCGCTGAGTACAGAGAAGGGGTTAACCAATCACAGAGAGACAAGGCGCCATGCGAAGCCGCATTTAACGGGAAAAATGAAGCGGGTAAAAACACTCCCGGCCCTTAGTACCACGCCCTGAACACTCCGCTTGAATCGCGACGCCCAGAGAGGGAGTGCAAATGCCTTGCGCCACTTGAGGCGAGACAGTGATCGGGGCTCGCCGAACTGCGGTCATCGGAATCCCCGGCAGAGCGGGAAGAATAGTTAACGTGCTGCGGGGCACCAAAGTGCAAAATCGGATTAGTGTGCCGGCATTAGGCAGATTAGTGATACGGAGCAAAATGTAGGAGTGAATTGGTGACTGACGGTAGTGCAATAGAAGGTGTCGAGGAGCTTTAACAACCTTAGGTAGTCGAATGTACCTACCAGGCGATTGGACTAATCACGAAGATCTGCGACTGCCTATGTCAGTTCAGCTATGAGGTCTTGAAGCCTGTAATATTCCAGCTGTAGTGCGCCTCAAGAAATCGGCTATGACAATAAACAGAATCAAATATTCCGCCTCTCGCCCGGCCTGCGAGGAAAACAATAGCGATTTCAGTGAGACAGAGTAATATGCGCTAGGAACCTGGAGAAGAGAGTAATGTAATCAGTGTAAAATGCAAATTCGAGTGGAGACAAAAAGAGATTGGAGATTAAGGAATAGGTCAATTATGAATCAGAGTTTTTGCGAAAGCATTGCAAAAAGTTCATAAAATTAAACAATAACAAAGCTCTTCGTTAAGGAAAAAATTCGTTACGGGTAATACATTTCACGACCTAGAATCATAAAACTGAATAGCTGATGTACCCGAGAAAAGTGCATGAAAGTGGAGAGACAATAAGATAGATCTCGAGAATATAATATTAGAGCTTTCGAAAATGGTTGTTACTACGAAGTCAACGAGAACGCAGGATTTCGACCCCGTGCTAAGAGAAGAGATTGGCCGCTAGTGAACGAGAGAGAGGACCAAAGAATTGAGGCTAAATAGGAAGACTGAAATAAAGCTGGCGAAAATCGTCTGTTTAGCCACAAATGACGCGGCCCTTCCAATATGCCGCGCTTTAAATTTCTATTGCTGTAGAGATTAAGCTGCCGAACGCAAAGATAGAATCGATGGATTATCTAGAATACTAAATTATATTTTAAAAACTTGGTTTGGTCAAATATACACCCGGCTACTAATGTGTATTAACTTTATATAAACATAGATCCGAATACGGAAAAATTGGAAAGAAGCGCGTATTCCATGTTTAGCAGCCCTCTATAGAGCGGGGTTGCACCAGTGCTACCTCTTACGGCACACAAGGTACCATAAATTGGTGCCCCTCTCTATCTAAAAGATTTCGAAAACAATATATTAATATAGACGTTTCGCTTCCATCGCTAACTGTTAGGATACTCGTAACCCTTAGATGTAGGCGATGAGCAACTATACTAAACACATAGCACAACACAAATAAAAGCAACCCCCCCATACTGTACTTCGTTATTCACTAAGACACAGCTACAAGAGAACAGTGTGCAACAAAACTGTCGAATCCTAAACGGCTAGACAGAAGCCGCCTCGAAGACACACAGCACTTACGCAAGCACCCACCCGCTAGACCCCACAACGCGAACCTGTAACAGAGCAGAAGCACAACCACAGCAAACGCCGCCCGAGTCAGCAGCAATAACAGCTGACAAAACATAATACATCACGAACAACCTTAACATAGAGCTCTAATTCATTTTGATGTTGTCGTTCTCCACGTGCGCAAATGGCGGCGCAGCGCTCCTGTCTCGACTGTTACTCAGAATTGATACGCTTCCTCAGCTCGCCTGTGGATCCGTATTGACATACTTCATACTTCTTCCAATAAAACAGGTTAACACAACCTCCTTGTGTAGCCCTATTGTCTCATCAGTACAATGCCGATAGAGAACATGTCGTTCCGCGTCCCAATAAATCCATGTCATCTTACAATTACATCAGTATAAATATAAATTATATCAATATGTTAGGTTATCGTTAGCGTTTTAGGTTAGCGCAACATTAGTTTTATGGCGACCACCCTCCGTTCTCATCCTTGGGCGTATCTTCGGGGTCTCTTTCGAAGTTGCTCCTACCTGTGTCACACACGGCCACCTCGTACCTCTGCTCTCTTTGTCGCCCTAACGCTAGGAAATCTGGTAGAGAGGAAAATTCTGTCTACAAGTTCATTAATTATTTACTTTCTCTAATGATAATCGCCTTCGTCGTAACATTATTCTCAGTGCTTGGTCCTTTAACTCTTTTAGTATTTCGGCTCATCACTTTTTCCGTCCTTCTAGATTCGAAGGTAATTCTGTCCCATTATAACCTTTTTTATTTAATTTTTGTGCCTATGGTTATTCCGACAGAACGTTCGAGTTTCATTGAAATTTCGTGAAGATCGCGATGCAAAATGGCATCGCTGCCGATAAGCGTGCGCGCGTACACTGCTTATTGGCCCCGTGGGAAACAACCTACCGTTCCCTGCTAATGCGCTTTACCCTGCTTACTCATATGGTTATACATTTATTTCAATATGTTATTCACTTTCTTAAAAGTTGTTTTGCAGAAACCCCGCTTCGTTCCACTTTCCAAATTACATCACCATTTACAAATACGCAGTGGCTACGGTACGGTAGCCGCCTCGGTCGTTGAACCCCTTTTGGCGTTAGGGTATAGGGTTTAGGGTAGGATTAGGTTTAGGGTTAGGTTTTACCCTAGTAAGACCTATGGCCTAGCGAGATATAAAGCGAAACAAATCGAGTACTTCTAGAGTAACCACTAGCGCCAGTATCAGCTCGGTAGTACCCACACGCCTGTCCCGCGTTTAGTGACGCTTACTGTTTGCTTCGACAAAAGCTCGTATGGTTTGTCGTTCATTGATAAATGAGATGAATCATATATAGTCCGAATAAACTAGCTAGAAGCACATACGTTGATCTTATATGGCTAGCTATGATCCGCATATATTTCGTGTAGAAGAGTTAGCAAAATAAGTAGGTAGAACTTTATTATTTTCGCTGAAACGACACCATGGTTTCCTTATTCAGCGTTGTACGCTCCTGTGATGCGCTCTTGAAAGCCAGCATCATTCAAACGGTAAGTCCTAAACCGTTTTGTCATATATGCGCTTTAATCATAGCTTTCGATATTTATCATTTTCATTTTTGTTCTCACCAGACCAATGTA